TCTTTTTAATGCAAAAAGCCGTTTTGAAAAATCACATTCAATTTTCGCCGATTAAGTTTTAAAAATTCGAATAAAATCCATTTCTTGGAATATGAGTTTGAAAATTTCCCAAAGTATTAATAAAAGTGTTCTCTTTCCAATGAACTAACCCGTTTTGAAAAATAACTTTTAGTTTTTGAGAAAACAATATTTGAAGTTTTGATAAAATTTTCGATGTTACAATTTTCATCGATAGTTTTCAAAATTCGTTATAAAATTCATTTCTTGAAGTATCCTTGTGAAAATATCACCAATTATTAATTAAAGTATCCTCTTTTTAATGCAACAAGCCGTTTTGTAAAATCGCTTTTAGTTTTTGAGAAATAAATTTTTGTAATGATCGACAATTTTTTCGAATTTTTCAACTATCCCTTCCATCGCTACTGTTAACTATTTTTTTAAAAACATATTAATGTGGTGATGAAGAGAAGAGGAAGAGATGCGGAATAAAGAAAGCTGCAAATACTCCCCAAATAAAATAGATAAGATTAAGCATAACGTATTTGGTGATAATAATAATTCCAAAGAAATAAAACTTAAGGTATTAAAACTTTTATTGAACATTCAAAATCATGGTTGGATATTTTAATAAAACTAGATTTCTACCATTTAGTTTTAATTTAGCTGTTGCAATTTCACGATAGATGACTCTTTGATACATTCCGATTAAAATTTATCACACAAATAAGTTGTTATATTTGTCCTTAAAAAGAATAAAATAAATGTGCTTCCTTAAAAAAAATCTGTTATTATTATTACTTATCAATACAAGAAGCGATTATAGTTTACTTTTTATTTATAACATTTTTTAGAGTAATTTTCTTTTAATTACATCCGGATCTATAATCATTAAATAACTCGTCGGACCTTGTACAACTTTTAAAGTTCATCCAAACACAAAAAAAAATGGTAAATACTATAGAAAAAGAAACGACCGACCGGCGCGAAGGGAAAAGTAACGTCAAGGTTATAGAACTGAAAAGATGTACAACGTGAGGATCAGTTTGTTTTCTACGACTACTTCAGGTCAATAAATAAACGGTATTGGCATAGAATAAGATTCTATTAGGTATGTGGTACAACACCTGCCGCAAATCGTTGAGCAATAACCGTTTAGCTACTTAATGTCGATTGTTACTGTTGCTTCTGGTGTAGTTGTTTTTTTCAATGGTTGCGTTTACTAGTATAAATGTATTTAAAAGCGGTAAATCGAGGACTACAATTTACTGTTAACACTAAACTTTCGATTACATAAAATTTCGCAAAATTTAAAATGATAAAATCGAGTGCGTAAGAAGCTTGTGAGTTTTATTGTCGAATCGAATCGCTAAACGATAAAATCTGAATTACTATTTCACAATTTCGCATTAGGTTGGATATTGAAATTTACCACAAACTTAAAGAGATGGACGCGTCATATCTTGTAATTCCAGATGAATCCATCCTTTGGTATTTGCAACTCATACCAGATAAGGTCAACTATTTTGTTGAGAGAATCTTCAACAAACAAATACCATCTTCTCTTGTAGTCGATCACGACATGATTTTCTATGGAATTCCAAGATTAACATTTTAATCTAAAAGATTATTTTGAATTAGCATTTCGATTGAAATCGAATGGGAAAAGTTAATATTAAAAAATGTAGATTATCTAATCAGAATAATGTAAATTGAACGTTATACTATTTTCGTTTTTTTTTTATAAGAGATTATTTTAATTAAAAAAAAATCTGGTTACGATGTGTGGAAACACCTCTCGGTATTGTTTATAGAACATCGTGCAACGGAATTACATAAAAATTTTAAACGATTCAATGTAAATCAGTTCAGATTTTAGGTCAAAAGAATGTTCCCAGTCTACAAAAACGTCTTTTAAACCTACTTTAAACTGAAAAAAATCTTCACAAGAATTCTTGAATATTTATATGACATTGATGTCAGTCAGTAGAAAATTTATTTAAAAACGATGGGTGTTTCAATTTTTAATGAATGTATTTTGTATTTTACTTATTGCGTTTATGAAATCAGCTGTAAGTTATATAAGGTATATAATTAAGTTAAGTCTTAGTTCAGATTAAAAATTGTATAATTAAATATTTAAATGCTTTTCTCGATTATAAATTATGGAGAAAGGTTAACTGATTTTTTTATGTAACTTAATATCTCTTCTTTGTACTCGAAACTTTATTATCAAATATGGTTGCAGATTACTTCTTATACTTACTAAAATCTAGGTTTCAAAGATAGCATATAATTTTATTTGAAATATTCGTTATAAAAAATTTATTGGATATAATTGAAAAATCGTATTCTTTTTGGTTTGAAAATTCCACTCGACGTCTATGAATAATATATAAGCAATCCAGCTACGGATGATACATTAGTTTGACTTGCTGCTTTGAATGTGCTGCTTCTATTTCTGTCACAAAGGGTAGTTATATCAAACTTAACTACTACTTCGGTTTTATTAAAGTTTAATTGCAGATTGTTTATTTCTATTGTCTTAGTAATTGTAACCTCAAGGGTATTATTCTCTCAGTAGATTACCGAAGTATCATCCGCATACAATGCAACCGGTAGATCCACCGCCTTAGGCAACAAATTGATGTGTATAATAACCTCGTTTGATGGGTGTATAATCAGAACCACAAGTTTCATCGCTCCTGTTAACACACGTTAGATTTCAGGACATTTTTATGGTATTATATCGCTTTTATGAATTGAGTTTCATGCTTTACCTAGAATAGTTTCCCAAATTAGTTTTTATACAGAGAGGATTTTAAATCTTATATCATTAATAAAATTATTAATCAACGTAACAATTTTCATATGGTATTTTCAAGCAATTTATTTATCATTGCGAAAATCATATCTAACACTTTCACCAATGATTGAAAAATATATGAAATAAAGACAATATAAAAATAGAAACAATTTGAGGAGATTTCATAAAAGAAGAGATCATTCTAAACTGTTTTCAGAACAACCATTTTTTGACACTAGTTGTATATGAAAATGGTGGAACAATAATTTTGACACAAATATGTTTGTCATATAAATAGTATAAATAGTTATCATATAGCAAAAACAGAAAAGACAAGTAAAACAATTTGAAGAGATTTCATAAAAGAAGAGATCATTCTAAACTGTTTTCAGAACAACCATTTTTTGACACCAGTTCTATATGAAAATGGTGGAACAATAATTTTGACACAAATATGATTGTCATATAAATAGTATAAATAGCTATCATATAGCAAAAACAGAAAAGACAAGTAAAACAATTTGAAGAGATTTCATAAAAGAAGAGATCATTCTAAACTGTTTTCAGAACAACCATTTTTTGACACCAGTTCTATATGAAAATGGTGGAACAATAATTTTGACACAAATATGATTGTCATATAAATAGTATAAATAGTTATCATATA